TCTAGGTAAACAGTCTTCCCACATTTTGAAGTTTGGTGTAATACAATCATCCATCCAATTTCATCCTTTTTAGACCAGTGTAGAACTGCATTTCTTCTTCTATATGCTATGTCCTAGGATGTTGTCAATCATGGCTCTCCACAATTTCCTCCCCATTGTAGCTCTTAATAATTTTTTTTTTGTCATCTCCTTTAAACCCTATTCTGCCATCCATTTACTCAAGCTCATTATGTTATGTGTTGTTTTCCTGTCTGTCTTGCCTTCAGTCTGTCCTGTGAGTGTTAAATTTTTCAAGCCCTCTTTCCTCGTCATGTGTCCTAGAAATTTTAACTGTCTCTTTCTGATGTTAAGTATAAGTATCCTTTTTGTTTCCATTTTTTCTAAAACGTTGTCAATGCTCACATATTTTGGCTGATGATATTCACACCATCCTTCTGGAGAACCACATTTCTGTTGCTACAAGTCCTTTCTTCATCTGTGAGGAGATTGGTCTGCATTTACTGCCAGGATTGATATTACATGACAGTCAAATACTCTTTTCTTTGCTTTCAATGAACTTTTTTTTCTTTTTTCTTTTTGGTACCTTGTTTGTTTTTTTAATGTATACTTTCCCCTTTCAACGCATTAACTGATCCCTCGCTTGCCCAGTAGAACTGTAAGGCTTTTATCTAACTACAAACCTTCAATACTGTTATGGTCCAGTTCCTTGTACCAGGAGATAGTCCAAGGTAGAACCAATAAAGAAGAACTCGAATACGGATATGGAATAACACAGATATATTACAAACAGGAATATATACAGAGAAGTAGAAAGTGTTAGTACGAACAATCAGGTTTAGTAGTAATTATCTGAACACAACTCTGTTTCGGTCTGCCTCTGACTCGACTGACTGACTCGCTCACTCTGACTGACTGACAGACTCCTGACGGACTTCACTCCAGACTTCAGACTGAACTCCCTGCTTCCTCTTGAGGCGCAGTATTTATTACATATAGAATAGTCCATTATGTTATTATGGGTAACGTCCCCTGACAAATACCTACAGAACTAACTTATGATTTATACTAAAACTATGCTTAACAGACCTTAGTTATGATTTTTACGAAGGAGCATATAATCTGGCATGATTACTACTTGAACAAGGCTAGTATGCTCAAATCCTCAGTCACGATGACTTGTGATATCATGCTAGAACAACAATAAATGGATTCTAAACTGTTTCATCTACCTGATTTCACTCAGAAGGCCTGATCAACTTGTGGTATGGTTTGTAATCATGTCCCAGTTGTGCTGTATAATGAGTTTGTCTCATCAGGCCAATAGCATTTAGGGTGATGTCACAACTTAGACAAATTGACCATAAAGAGATATAAACCCGGTCTTAAGGTCAGAATGCTGATAGCCACAAGTAGATAGGTTCACCTACTGTCCTGTTCACACTCCTCCTCAGTCTTTTGAACAGGTTTATCCCTTGTTTCCTGTTTAGGATTGGGTTTCCAGTTCCTTCTAAAGTCTGCTTCAGTTTTTCTCTTCTCCACCAATTGGAGTAGATAGGTTCACCTATAGCTAGTTCACACTTCCTCAATCTTTTGAACAGGAGTAAAGTTTTATCCCTTATTTCCTGTTTAGGATTGTGTTTCTAGTTCCTTCTAAAATCTACTTCCAAACTATACTTCTAACATCTCCACCTAAACTCTGAAATGTTATTCACTAATGAAATCTTGACCTCTTCATATCTAGAGTTAGCTGTTATCTTTCCTGCACAGCCCCAAGAACCTCAATTCTTGCCTTTTCTTATGCTAATACAACACTACACAGTAACCAACTACCTTGGAGGGCTCTTGGGCCATGTATTGGGTGAACATTAATAAAAGGAGAGAAAAAAAAAAAAACAGATAAAAAACCAAACCATATATATTTACTGCACTTGATGACGTTTAAAACTCCTTCATTTTTATTTAATTTCAGAATATTATGAAATTAGATTAGGTACAAGTATTCGTAATTTACAGCATTTAGGTAAACATATAAATCACTTTAGGAGGTAAGAAAAGTGAAGTCAGCATGCTGAGTTCAGTTTCCAGTTCATTCTGTTTTGTTCACTTTGTGCTAAAGGCATACAACCACTTTCCTCCAGCTATGGGTTAAATAGTTCAGAAGACTGAGCTCTCTTAAGTCAATGTGGCAACCAGTCTAGGAGAAAGAAAACTCTGAATTTAAAAACCAAGCCGAAGAGGATGTGCTCTGTCAGGCTATCTTGCCCTAGACATACTACTGTTCTTATGGCTGCAATACATATGGTGCTCCTATGACTCTAATGGGTTATGAGACTTCAACATCTCATATAAGATCAAGGAGATTGAGGGGGGGTCATTTTTTTTGGGGGGATAAAAACAGGGTTCTTAAATGCCATCAAATAGAGTAATAATTGAAAATTTTACTTATTTTTAAACAGGCATTAAATGAATTGTGTGTGTTTGGATGTATGTACATATGTGTGTGTGTGCATGCACACATGCATGCCATTATTAATATATCAAAGATCAATCAACATTCAATCCACTGAATATGGAATTCTATTTATTGGATTTTACACACACACAACCTCTTTCCCCGCTTCATGTATTTTCTTTTCTCCCGACACGGAATTCAAATCCAACGAAATATTATTACGTCTTTTAACTGCCAACTCACAATTAAATTTTTCCCCACTGACAAAGAAACATAATTCCAAACATATAATAGAAATGTTAATAACAAAAAATCCATTTTAGACTGAAATATTCCAAGATTTTAATGCCATCTTTGGCTCCTTTCTTGGCTTCTAAGACCATTTTTGTTTACAGTTGACAACCCAGAATGGAATTCTGCCATGTTCATACTTTCTCTCCATTTTTATTTTTGGGAATTCTGCAATTATTTTGAGAAAATTGCAATTGCATTCCATATTCCAATTCAGCATTAAATGGTAATACATGGGGAAAAAATATTTAAAAATATTCTAAACAGAAAAAAAAAAAAAAAAATACCGATCAATGAAAACCAGCCAAGAATATGAGGAATTTAAGGTTTTCTTAAATTTGATTCCATGAAGAAAAGAAAAAAAGGAGAGGAAATGGTGAATCATTTTCGCCTCCACCCTACAAAAGCAGTTAAAGGAATATATATATATATATATATATATATATATATGTATGTATGTGTATATATATATATATATATATATATATATATATATATATATATATATATATATACACACACACACATACATACGCACACACACACACACACATACACGGAGGGTTGGTGCGTACTATCCCCAACCATGCTTAATTGGGGGCCCCCGGGCACTGCCTTGTGACCCTCACTATCTTATCAACATTTGCTTTTTTTTCTACCTACATTTACATACATTACAAATTAAACTAAGCACAATTGACTATTAATGGATGAAAAATTTTCATGGATTTTGATGTCATTCTGTGTTCTTTTTTTTTTCTTTGTCCATACCTGTAAATTTGTTTTCATTATGCTAAATCTTAAAAAAAAAAAAAAAAAACACTAGATAAAATTCACTGTTTTTTTATCCGTAATATTGAATGTCTTAAAAACTTTTTAACAAGGAAAAATCTCAAATTGATGTTAAAAATTGCCACAAAGCATTCTTGATTTATTTAAAATGGAATGATCTATTATGACATGTCTTTAATTTACATTTAGATACAATGTATTTATTTTCAGTTTTTCCAGTTGAGTTGCTCACTTATATTGTATATGATCCATTACTGTACATAATTAGGTTAAAATAAAATTTTTATTCTATATGAATAATAACTTATGAAAATTGAGAATAACTTACGCAAAGTAGTAGAGTAGGAGCCCTGTCTCATTTGGAGGTGATGTGATGAGACCCTTGCACTAGCCATATATATATATATATATATATATATATACACACACACACACAAACAATGGCCAGTCACTAATTGTGAGCACATCCATCTGACAGGGTGGTTAGCAAATCCTTAGAAGAGACACTTGCTCAACCCACAGAGCCCATGTGTGGTTTATAGTGCAACTAAGCTGAGTGGACCTTAGTTCAGGGGAGAGAGAGAGAGAGAGTATAATCTGGTAGGATTCATTTTTTTGAACAATGCCAGCATGTTTAAACCGTCAGTCAAGATGAATTGTGACTTCATGCCAGCACCATTATTAATGGCTTCTGAACCATTCCATCTAACCAATTTCACTATCGAGGCTTCAGTTAACTTGTGTGGTTTTCAGGTAATTTCCAAAGACGCAATGTGCTGGGATTGCTCCCCCAGTCTGATATTATCAAAAAGTTGCCATCCTATAAATAAATAAAGGACTCACAGCTAATTTAACAGTCTACTTAAATAGTTAGTTAATCTTGTATCTTAGTGTCTTTATTGCCTTTGCTTGGTGCGAAATGAAAGAGAAAATAGTGAGGGAACTGGATTCTTATATGCCATCCAATATGGTAGTAAAATATTGATTCCATCACACACTGAGGTTTGACTTTGTGATTGTTATTAGGAAACTTATATTTATTATTTTATTATACATGTTCCATGTCTCTTTAGGATGTGGGTGATCATGGCACTCCACAACTTCTAAAGTTGTAGCTATAAGCAATGTTTTGTCTCCTTACTCTCCCTCCCAGTCCCTATTCTGTCATCTGATATACAAGTTCATTTAGCAGGTTACTTACTGTCTGTCTTTGGCCCTTTTTCTTTCAATATGTCCAGTGGTGAACACGACTGGAATTTGCTCAGCTCTTTGATTTGTTTCCTGGCCATTATCCATTACACCACACCACATCACCCCACCTCAACACTTTGTATAAGTCTTATATTTGTCTTCAAATGACCAAAAACATGGTAGAAAGTGGTTGCTTCTTCTTTCTTTTTCTTTGAAACTTGTATCAATAGAAAAGTAAATAAATAAATGGCTGGCTGTTATTATCCAAGTAGGCTTACAGCCATATCACATTGAAACACCAGTTCCCATACAACTACTGAAGTTAAGCAATGTTGAGCATAGTCAGTACCTAGATGGGTGACTGCTTGGAAATACCAGGTGCTGTAAGCAGGTGGCATAATGGATAATAGTTCAGAATTGTTCATCGGAGAACCAAGTTCCAGCTCTAGTTGGGTTTGTCATATTCATTTACATGCAAAAATACCCTTTGGAAAAATATGAATCTACTTCTTCTCCCCGTAGGTATGGGTTAATTAGATCTGTATCACTAAATCAGTCAGTTATATGCTATGCGTAATACATGCTTAGGCGATCATGTATCTTTCAATACATGACTGATGAGGTAGTTTTTTTTCCCATAGTAGGTTGCCATTTTTTTTCTGTGGTAGACCACTGAAGGCCATAGAACCCAGTCTGTCCTACTATTTACCCATAGCTGGGGGGAGAAGAAGAGGATTCATGCTTTTCCAAAGAGTATTAGCATGTAAGTGAATATAATGGATGGAGGGAGGCATGGTGGAGTAATGGATAGTGGTTGAATGTAATGAATTCCAGTCAAATCCATTACATTCATTTACATGCTAATACCCCTGGGATAGTTATAAATCCTCCTCTTCTCCCCCCCCCCCGGTATGGGTAAATAGCAGGACAGACTGGGTTCTATAGTCTTGGATGGCAACTAGTCTACTGCAGAAAGAAAAGGCAACCTACTACAGGAAAAAAATCTGCCTCGTCAGTCATGTATCAAAAGATACATGATTACCTAAGCATGTATCACGCATGGCACATAACTGTCTGATCACTAAATCATTATTATCTAAATAGAAAAAAATTCTTACAATCTAAAATATTTTCTGGCTTAAAATAACCTGCAAATGATTGATAAGTCATTGAAAATGAATTAATAAATACTTTTGAAGAACACCCGCCTGTTTAGGGGGCTAATCCCTACTGCAGATGCCTACATTTGATCATATACTGTTACTGCTCACTTCCCCTACCCTGTTTTGCTCTCTACAACAAATCGTGTTCATATTCTCAGGCGTATTTCTTACCAATAGCATCATATCAATACATGACATTGCATGAACATCCTTTTCAATTCCTTTTCTCCACTTTTTTGTCTCTGTCTGCTGACCTCCTAACATCTATTTTCTTTTTTTTTTTTTTATATCTTTAACAACATAGTATATAATAAATCCTATTGTAAGCTGATATTTTAAGTACCCAGGGACAGTCTGCTCATCATAAAATTCTAATAACTGACTTAGATTCCAGATGCTTCCCAACCCCCAGCCAACTTTTGCTGTGCTAGGTTACCCTGTCAATGTGTCTACTTTCAGCTTTCAACTCTTTCTTTTCATCTATGCTTCGTAATTCGACCCAGACTAGTATTTGTTCTATCTGATTCTATTTTTCTTATTTTGCATCAAGGTACCTCCTATAAATAGGCAAAGAAAGTTGCTTAATAATTCTTCATGTCCTGAAATTGTCTGCTAGACAAAGATTAGGGATCAGGAAAGAGGTAACTCTAAGACGGTAGCCTTATATCTATGACATAAATCACACGCATGCATACACACACATGATGGATCAATAGCCTGGACATGTAGTTATTAACTGAAATTTGATCTGTATTGAGTGCATTGACAAGAAAGAAATTATGCTGACAAATATCTGTAGTAAAAATAGATCTTTTTTCATGATTAGTCTCCTATTGAGATATCTGCATGCGTGGCCAAGTGGTCAAAATGTTCACTTTCTGACCATAAGGCCCAGGTTCAAATCTCACCAGGGTCAATTACTCAGGAAGGTGACTTTTTGAAGTCATCAATCTGGGGAGGTAATCCCAGTGTGCAGCATTTTTTGGAGAGTGCCTGAAAAACAAATCGCAGGTTGGCCCAAGCCTTGTGAGTGAAATTGGGTAGAAGGAATTGTTTGAAAGCCATTAGTGGTTGTGCAAGCACAAAGTTACAATTCAGCATGACCAACAATTTGAGTGTCCTGGCTTTGTTCAACCGGTGACCACTTCAGATAATGTGCCCTCCCATAAACTGTAAGTTAAGTCTGCTCTGCATAGTTGCAGTATAAACCACAGATGTTGGCTCTGTAGGTGTTGAAGAAACACAAACGGGCATGAGCAGGCGTCTGCAACAGGGATTAGCTAAATATCTAAGCAAATAGGTGTACTTGGAAATGAGCAGCCAGACATTTATTTATTTAGTTTTTCATTGATACAAATTTATAAAAAAAAGAAAAAAAAAAAAGGGGGAAGATTATTAAGGAAAGAAAACAATAAAAGGACAGAAATTAAGAAAACAGAAGATAACAATTGATGTTGCCTTTAAATTTTTGACGATCAAACTTGACTGGAAAGCAAAAAGATGGAAGAGAGATCCGTAAGTGAGAAGTGTGAGAAAAGAAACTATGAGTATAGAACAATTACAAAAAGTTATTTCAACTATAAAATGGTGAAATTAATACTATACATAGATTTGTAAAGTCTAAGTATCAAAGTGTAAAGCAATATTTATTTTGTTGTAATACAAAAATGTGGCACAAAGCCCAAAGGGGTTATACAGGAAGGCTGGTCTTCAATCTGTCTTATCGTAAACTTAGCTAATCACGATTACTGACCCAAACATACCACAGTATTCCTTACACCAAAACAACACATTTTTACCTACCATTCTTACTACAGTCACCATAATACCTCAAAGTCTCTATGAAATCCTAACTAGTTCCCATATGTACAATTTGCTAGGGTTGGAGGAGGGGGTATACAATAAAAACATTTAAAATGAAACCCCAAAAAGGATAGTTCATCAGAACAAATGCCATGAAAATATTTATAGAAAAAGCACGGAGAAGATACATTATGGCAGCAGGAAGTGGCTGAAGCTAAGATACCAGGTTAGGACTGATAACATTGCAAAAAAAGATTCCCTAGTTTTATATGCGATGTTGGCATGTATTTAGTAGGTTAATATTTAACCAGCCAGTACTTACCAAGCTGGTCCTGAATTTTTGCCAATCACGATGAACAGGTGTTCTTTCTGCCTTGAGTGCCTATTGGGACTTAAGCTTAACCCAAACCTCAAGTGGAACTCAAACCATATGATCAATTGCGAAAGATGCTGGAAAAATGATCAGTTTCCTGTACTGCTCCAGTAAGTACCTGACTCCTCCTGCTCTCATCTATCTTTAACAAGAGCTATTTACAATGGAGTACTGCTGCTATACATGGGCATATATTTCACTTTCCCATATCAATAGAATCCAATAGCATTTACATGGGCTTGTGGGTTTATTTTCCATCCATAACCATTTTCCCACAGAGAAACACTGCAAGCCTCTCACTACCTCATTGCTATTTCCATGGAACATGTTCAGATGAACTACATTTCTTAGTTCCACCTTGACAGCTATGATCCGCCATGCCACATTCCATTCATATTCCATTAGTGAGAAGTAAGTTCCAATCAAGCAGTTTCTTTCCCATGAACCACTCCTTTGTGAAACCAACTTCCAAGAGGATGCTTCTCAATCATTACAATCTTAACCTGTTCAAGTCTACGGTTAACCACATATCCCCATAAACTATGCTTCATACTCTGTAACCTTCTACCTTGAGTAGCCCTTGGGCCTTGTAAAGGGTGAACATTATTGTAAAAAAAAAAAATCTGAACCTAACTCCATAATACAGCTAAGATAAATGTAATTGGGAAGATGTGATAACAAATGTGTAACTTTCAGATATAAATAAAATAAATGTTCAATATCAGGGCTGTGGAATTGGAACACAAAACCTCCAACTCTGACTCCTCTTTTTTGGCACCTCTGACTCCGACTCCTCTTTAAGTAATTAAGTGATCATGGCCTACAAATCTCATAAAGCCTATGCATACACTCCTGACTTGAGTAGGCCAATATCATTATAACTGCTTTATATCAAAGAATAAAGATATTGTGGCTTTTATATCATAACTATTCATTTTTCAATATTTTCTAACAGAATTAGAGATAAAATCTTTGAAAAGATATAGAAGAAATAACAATAAAAATAAAAATGCTATAATGTAAGACTTTTTAAAATATATATATATATATATATATATATATTTGCAAATAAGAAATAAATACAGAACAAAAATAAAACTACTTTATAACAGAAGTTGAAATATAATCTTTTATAGGATGCAAAAGATATAACAAAAATAAAAATTCTATAATGTAAGATTTTTTTTACATATAAAGTTTTGAAAATACAAAATAACTACAAAAAATAAAATAACTTTAAAAAAAGAAGTTGAGATGAATTTCTTTAAAGGAAATAGTAAATATACAGTCAAAGAAATAACAATAAAAATAAAAATTCTATAAAGTCTTTTTAAATAAAGTGTAAATTCAACTGGAGTAAGAGTCCGTATAGTTTTACCGACTCTGACTTCAGTGATCCCTTAATTGCTTCTGACTTCGACTCCATAACTCTGGCCAGACTCCACAGTCCTGTTCAATATATTGTTGCACTTGTGTTTTATATTGAGCAATGTATATATACAACATAGGTTTAAAAAATACAATGAGCAAAGTTAATCACACAATAAAAATCATGTTTTTTTTTCATTGTATTTAAAGGTCATGGTAATTTCTGTAGAAATGCCCCCATTTTAGGAATTTTTGATATATATATATATATATATATATATATATATATATATATATATATATATATATATATATATATAAACTTATCCTGATACAATAAGGATTGAGATTTAACTAGTTCAAGTGGTTTTATTCTTTATTCTTTATTTATGTGTTTTATGTACTGCAAATGTTTTCCAACAGTGACAATGTTCAAAGTTCACAATATATTGCAAAAGCTATCAAAGAGATTAAGAACCATCCTCTACTGTGAGGGTCAACACAATACAAACTTAGTTTAGAGTTTCTGATAATACTGACAAGATCTTTATCAAGTTTTCTTTATGCCTAGCCATTGAGGTCGAAAACAGGGGTAACAGCCTTATGCTGTCTCAAAATAAGAAAGAAAGATAATTAAAGGAGAGTGTTTATTCAAGTGCTTACTCACCCACTTTCTTATGG